CTTTTTGTGTTTAAGTCATTTTTTTTGCTGGAAATTGTCCTTAATTTTTATTTTGAAAAAAAATTTGCTTTTCTTTTCGAAAGAACACATTTTGATCCTCTAGCTAAGAGGTAAGAAACATAAGGAGGATAATTATAATGGGATTTAAATAATTCACTTAACATTTCTTTGCCAATAAAATAAAGCATGTTCTCTTGGGCTTTTTTTAAAATAAACTCTACAATATGTCTTTCAATTTACTAATATTATTTTTAAAATCACACAGCACTGGCAACCACTGCTCAATAGCTATTGATCTGCAACAGATCTGGCAACCACTGAAAAACAAATGGCCTCAGATTTTCAAGTCTATCTGAGTGACTGTTGTTGACTCCCCAGATCAGGTCAGAAGCGATGTCTCTACAGAAGCGTCTGCTAGGGGTACCGCATGTTCAGATGAGGACTTTCTGGGTCTCAGTGTAGCTTCCTGCATTCACCAGCTCTCTGAGCTTTCCTTCTGAGCAGCAGCATCTCCCTTTATGAACCCTGAGGTCTTTATTAATTAAACAGAGTAGTCAGCTGGACTGATTTATTCTCCATCCTTAGCTGAATTACCAAACACATATCGGGGGGAAATATTCCTAGTACTGGAATGTTCTCCTAGCCAGTAAATCTAGGATTATCTCATCATACTGATTATGTCAAAGACCATTAGCTGCAGTGTTCACTGAGACATAGAATTGAATGGTAGACTCAAGACTGGCACTCCTCCAGCATTATAGGCAGAATTCCAAGGTGTTCTTACCCTAATCAAAAAGCCCCAATTATCAATAAAACCAGCTATGATTATTTCTTGAATGTCTACTCTTTGCCAGGCCCTTTCCACACACCACCTGGGCTTTAGAAATTCTGTCTCATGGGTTCTGAGTACTTTTGCATTATTTTTTTCTAAAGATCCAGTCGTTGACTCTGAGCCATCAAAAGCCTTTTCTTGTTGCCTTGGTTTTATTTTTCTAGTCAACAGTTACTGGGATTACATGTTTAATATTTAGAGATGTGTATGCAGGTAGGGTTTTTTGGTGGTGGTGGTGTATGTGTGCATTTCTTCACCAATAAAATCAAACTATTATCTTGGACTTCTATCTTTCAGAAAAGTATACTATGAATATAAGATTAGTCAAACAAATATAAGTTACAGTTTGTAAAATATAAGTTACAGTTTGACCTTTGATTGGGGTCATATTTTGTCAATTAAGAAGTCTTGATGATTCATGGGAGTTTTCCTTGCACCAGATTTCTACCTGACCCCAAAATGCCCCCATCAAAACATTTCTTTCTTTATCCTTCCCCTCTATCCTTCCGCAACCCAGCCCCTCATGTTCCCACCCCACCCTCCCCCAGCTTACCCAGGAGAGGCCCTTTATTCCCCCTTCCTTTTTACCTAGTCTCCCTAGGGCTGTGGGTTGTAGCATGTTCTCTTTTACTTTACAGCTAATACCCACTTATGAATGTGTACATACCATGTTTGTCTTTCTGGGTATGAGTTAACTCACTCAGGATGTTGTTGTTTTGTGATTTTTTTATGGTTTGATTTTGGTTTTTTGGTTTGGGGGGGGGCGTTGGTTCTTTTTTTTTTAATCTTTATTTTTTGATACAGGGTTTCTCTGTGTCACATCTCTGGCTGCCCTAGAACTAGCTCTTTTAGACCAGGCTGGCCTCAAACTCAGAGATCCACCTGCCTCTGTCTCTCAAATGCTGAGATTAAAGGTGTGCACCACCACCACCCAGCCTGGGATGATTTTTTTTTTTTAGTTCCATCTACAAGAATGACCCCTACTGAGATTCCTAGCAATGGTGGATAGGTAGCCTGAATAGGCCATCTCCTGTAATAAAATTGGTGACTACCCTAATTGTCATCAGAGAGCCTTCATCTAGTAACTGATGGCAGCAGACACAGAGATCCGCAGCCAAGTACTGGGCCCAGCTCTGGGAATCCCGTTGAAGAGGGGGAGGAAGGATTATATGAGCACGGGGGTCAAGGTCATCACAAGTGAACCCACAAAGACAACTAAGCTGGGCTCATAGGTGCTCACAGACACTGAACCAACACCTAAGGAGACCACATGGGACTGACTTAGGCCCTCTACATATGGATGACAATTGTATAGTTTGGTCTACTTGTAGCAAATCGTGTACTTGAACTTATCCTGCAGATAACTGAGTTTGGTTTTCTTGCTTCCTACTCTCCCCATTCAGGTAACATTATAAGGGAAGGAGTATTTAAAATAATGTAAATTACACTCTTTGAACTGCACCAATACATTGTAACTGCTGGTAAACATTGAGTCTCTAGATAGTGAGACTGTCAAATCAACAAAACAGTGTTATCCAGCACATGCCTTTAAACCTTTGCACTGTACAGGACAGTGCCTGTCCGTCCCACCTTGCAGTGTGTTCCAGCTCTCTTGGTTACACTCCGTAATATTTTTTTAAAAGTGATTTCAGTTTAGGTAACAAAAAGGCCTTGAAATGAAATGAATCTGAGCCGAGTTGATGCTCTAGTAAGCTTAACCTTCATAAGAAACCCATTTAAATCATTTTGAAGAGAGTGGTAATGTGAGTTACTGCTGAGAGAATAATGATTTCTTTTTAATATTTTATTTATTGTTTAATAATTTTATAGCTGCATGCAGTGTACTTTGATCAAATCCATTTCCTATTTCCTTCCTTCCCTTTCTTCCCTTACCCACCTCCGTGACGTTTCCCTCCCAACTTCATGTGTTCTCTTCTTCTTTCATTAAGTTCCCTAAGTCTATTTAGTACAATCTGTACATGCATGCATGTAGGACAATCCATCAGGTGCCAATAGCTCCTCAGCCAGGTGAGGCTTCATGCATTTCTCCCCACCTAGCAGGGATTTCGGTTGGCTTGCTCTTGTGCAGGTCCTATGCACGCTGTTGCGGCTGCTGTGAATTCATATTGCAGCAACTCTGTCCTGTCCAGCAAGTACTTTTCCACTTCAGACGTTCCCTACCTGTGAGGCTTTCTACCCTCTCTTTCTCAGTGATCCCTGAACCTTCTGGGCTTTGGGGGGTGGGGTGACGTCCCACCTAGAGCTGAGCACTCCACTCAGCACTGCACAGTCTCTTACTGTCTGCATCGTCAGCATTTGTGGATTTCTGTATTAATCACCTCATGAGGGTTGAGAGTCATGCTCACATATGGGTATGAAGATGAGAATTCAAGGGGCAGTTTAGTACTATGTCCATTTACCAGAATAATCATATATAAGATTCATCCCTATGGCCTATGACCTAAACAGTCACGGATTTTGCCCCATAGACAGTACCAGGCATGAGTCGTGTCGCATGGAATTAGCTTTAAATCCAATCAGAGAGTGATTGGTTACTGCTATAACATCGGTGTCAGCAGTGGGTGTGTCTTGGCAGACCGGTCACCGTAGTTCACAGAGTTCATGACCAGGTCAGACTGTTGATGACTCCTCTCCGGGCAGCATGCACAGAACCTTCGGGCCCTATGAAAGCTACCCAGTAGGGGAGAAGCTTCTAAGTTGGTACCAGCTTGATTTTCCCATGTTCTATGACTCAAGTATGTAGTGTCTGCAGTGTCTGCAGCAGTAGAGTCTTACTGTCAACCTCTGGAGGGAAAACAAGAGCAATAGCTACAGCCTGTAATGTTTGGGGCTTGGGAGCTGCGGAACCCCATTGCCAACAACTCAAAAGTAAGTGAACCATACCTGGCACTGGACTCTGTTATATATGAGATTGGTATTTTGGCTTTATCCCCCAATAATAAGGTAACACAATTTAAACGCCTTTTATATATGAATGTATTCTAGGAAACTTCTACAATAGTAGCTTTCCATATAGGCTTTTCATTGACCTTTGGTGTTAGCTGTCCCTCGCCATACTCCCTCTCTACCAACACACTAAAACTCTGGAAGCTGTGGACATACCTGGGCCTTGTCACCTCCACATTGACTCTTGAACTACCTTACCCCTTTGTGAATCCTCTACCCCACTGTTAAACTATTAGTAATCTGCTGTTATAGAAATATACATTTATAAATGTCCCTCCAACCCCACCCCCACTCCAAGGGGCTAGGCAAATGATAGTGGACGTGTGAGAATCATCCAGCTGGAAGCTGAGTTAGGAATTGAATTCTGGGCCACACGTCCACCAGGTGGGAGTGTGGCTTGTCCTGTTCTGCCACTTCCTACATGTGCTCTCTGCCCTAGAGTCCCTTCCCCATCTCTGCTTCTGTCCCTTCTTCCCACAATGCTCTTCAGGACACTAGTCATTTGTTCTGAGGATGCACCAGGCACCACAAATGCAGAAATGAGAAAATGGCTCCTGCCATCGGGGAGCTTTCTGAGCCACAAGGTATCTGGCAATAAACATGCATTTATAATATAGGAAAATTAGAGATAAGACTATGGGTTCAGATGGCGGAGTCTTAAGGAGAATTTGCTTCTTTGGAGTTAGTGTGTGGTAACTCCCCAGGGAGGAGAAATGTGGCCCAGAATCCCACTGTAGGATGTGCTTGACCCAGAATCAGTTGGAACCTAGTGTTTCACAGGTAAATGACAGTGAGTGCTTTGTCATTTAGGAAGTCTCGGGGCTGGAGTGGAGAATGAATTAGGAAAGAAATAGAACTGAACCAGAGAAGCTATTTCAGTGTAGCAGACTGTTCCCCTGGAAAAGGAAAGCAGGAGACAGACTCCAGAGATGATGCTCACGGATAGGCAGTCATTGGACATGCGCACAGACAACACTGGGCGAGCAACAGTGAGCTTGACATGATACATTTATCTGCACTCACGCTGACAAAAGACCCTGAAAACATCTCCAAGACTGAGCACTCCTGGATCTGGTTCTACCTGCTTCCTGTCCCAAGGGCTGCCGTCTGGATAGAAGCAGTGTCCCCAGGATCAATACTTGTTTGACTGGTAGGAAGGCAGTCTTTCGCATTCTAATCTCCTCTCCGTGTTCTTCTTAAGCCATGTAACACAGACCACGTCCTGGATCCACCCCATGGTGAGTGTCCTGAACCTGTCCTGCTCAGAGGAGAACGAAGAGGACTGTCCCAGAGAGCTAACAGACCAGAAAAGCTGATGGCTTACCCTCATGGGAAGTGATGCTTCAGAGTTTCCGGCTTTTCAATCCATGTGCACAACCAGAGACAAGACACCACAGCCAGAGAAACTAGAATCCAGCACATTCTACCGGACGGGGTGTCAGGTTGAAACTGTGGTTTTCTATACACATGTTAAAGATCAGCTGCCACTACAGTTCCTTGAAAGGAATTTAGTTGCATTTGTTAAAGTCATATATATTTAGATTTTATATGCATGTAACTTTTCATATATAATTAGGTCTACATAACTTAGTATGTAGTTCATAATTTGGTATTAGATGCAATGGTTTTTATATCAAAACTTTATACTGAAAAGCTATATGAGCATAGGAAAGTACTTTTATCCGAGGATCCCCCTCTCTAATCACAGCTTAGGAAAGTGATCTGAGAACGCTTGGGGTGGGTGTTATACAGCTACCCCACTAGCTGCTAAATACAACTATTTTATAATTTGTATTTTATCTGCATCTCATAGGACACAATCTAACTTACATCACTGGGAGACGTCTATCATTTACAAAACACTTTCAAACCTCATTTTATTTAAACCAAACAGGATGGCTATAGGGCTGATCTGTTGTTTTCATTCCTGTCTTCTGCTGGAGAAACAGTGATTAGAGACACAGAGTGTCCTGACCCAGGGCTGAGCCTCACACCTCATCTCCTGACTCCATGTCCAGTCCCCTTTGCCCTGCTCCCACTGTCCTCCCAGAGGGAGCCTGCAGTCCAGCAGAGCACCTTCCTTCTGTTGATGCAGCTGGGCCCACAGCTGTGCATTCCACAATAGTCCAGAGGACACCCCACACTCAACCATGGCCTCTTCGTAACCCCACTCTTCTCCTTCTGTGCCCCCCATTACCCCTGGACCCCCAGTGACTGCTCTGTGACTGCCCAGCAGGCCGTGTCCCACAGTTCACGTTTCCTAAAATAAAGATCCTGGATCATGCCAGTGGTTTGCCGTGCTTGGGTACCATGGCCAGTAGGAGCATCTAAGGAGAGCCATAGAAGTAAAGGTATCTCTTATAAGGCTGCCCAGGCTGCTTGTAACAGAATGAAGGCCTAAACCCCAGTAAAGCAGCCCAGCATTGCTTAGGCAAGCCTAGCACTCCCAAGAACACAGTGTAAGAATCTCCACGTAAAGGCACTTCTTAAGTGTGTCACTGAATTCCTACAGTGAGCTAGCACCTATGCCAGCATCAGTCACTAGCTCCTAAGCTTTCCACTGAGTTTTACCTGGCATATGGAATCTACATGGAGAACACACCTGGGTATTGTGCTCACTCATGCCTCTCCGCATACATTACAGACTTAGGATTTAAGTTGAATTCACTTAGGATTCCTACTTTATGTCTTGAGGACAAACATAAAGTCAGTCAAATACAGACTGGCAAGGAGTCATTTACCCTGAGAAAGACAGAACAACTGGAGCAAATGTACCTCTCTCCTCACAGCTGTCTGAACACTAGGATACTTCACAGGGGATGGTTTTGAGCAGCCCCAGAGGTGAATGGGCACTCACACACCTTTCTAAGAGAGCATCTATGTTGTGAAAGGCAGATTCCTTTCAGGAGATTCCCATGCCCCACTGGAGAGCTTGCTCCCCTGTTTGTAAGGGAAGCTCAGATGGGATCCTGAAGCATACAGTTTCTAGTCCATATATGTTCATGTGTGTGTGGCACTCACCGCCTCTCTGCCTCTTGTACCAGTTCCCTCCCTGTTTCTGTTGAATACATAATCGAAAGACCTATAAAACTCACAGTGCTATCTCCTGAGCACTCTACACTGCAATGCGCAGTGAGCATGTATTACTTACTAGCTTCTTTTAGGAGTTAGTTCTCCCAGTACATCTCCCTTATCTCAACCCAGAAGGCAAGGACCGTAGTGATCCCCCTTTTGTGCAGAAGCCTAGGTTTAGAGAGAAGTGGTTGTTGCCCATGGATCGCACCATGCCCATGCTTTGATACTGGACCTCGAGGCAAGTCTTTGATGCCAGGGCTTCTTTAAACCAGAGGGCAGAAGTGCTTGGATTTAGTCATCTCTGCAAGGCTCCAGAACTCAAGCCTGAGGGACTGACTTCCTGGTTTGTCAGAAAAGAATTCCACGGGGAAAAGAATAGCTCTCCAGCAGGTTCTGGTGCATCGGAGCTTCTCATAGGAACCTAGCAGAGGAGGTGCAGCCTCTTTAGTATCCATGTCCTCCGGAAGGGCAGGTAAGAGACGGATGCTCAGAGAATCTCGAAAGGGCTCAGTACAGATGTGTTTCTGATCCAGAGAGAACCATGAATTACTTTTTGGGAAGTTGATACTCTATGACTTAATTAGCTCTATCATTGTGGTCGTCCATCGGAAATGCTTCTCCACTCACTCGCCCACTCATATTTAGCCTGAGGAACTAAATATGGCTGCATCCCTCCCAGTGCATGTTTTAGTGGATTGGCCGTCAGTTCTGCTGCAAGTCTTGCTTTCCTACAGTGACATGGGAAGGCTTGGCTGTCCTCACTCATTTGTTCCCACAGAATGCTCACTAGCCTCCAGCACCGTGACCAGCACTCTGGGTACCAGGGCAAAGTAGGGCAACAGTTAACCATTTCTTGGGCTGTTTTAAAAATAAAATGATTTTGAAAGTCAGAATTATAGTTACCTTTTAACTTCTGAATTTTAAAAGTAATTATTTTCCTTTCAAAAAAATGAAAGTACTGCGGAAATAAATTGGGCTGCATAAATAGTCCATTTCAGTTTCTGGAAGCTGCCATTCCCCAATACTTTAGTGAAGACTTTCCCTCAAGGGCAAGCATGCGCCCCTTTAAAGGGTTAGCATGTTGTGGTCATCTTTTATAGCAATATAGGCATGTTTGTTGTCTTCCAAACGTCTGCATGAGCTCCTGCCTCTCAGAATACTTATTGTCTGTGTGCTCATTAATGAAAGCTTAGGCTACTTAAAGTTCCTTCCAGTAACAGTGTCACAGTGAGCTTTTGGGTATTCTTTAAAACCCTGCACTCAAAAGCTGCTGTCTCTGGTGTGGAGACTTGTGAGTGAGCCACCCTGACAGAGGACAGTCAGAGTTTTGTCACCAAAAGAAGAGCCTGTCCATCCCTACCTAAAAATGTGGGTGTTTTAATCGCTAGGTGTTAGCGTTTCTCTAGCATCGGAGACTAGCTGGCTGTGATAGGAGTCCACTATGATTCCTTCATAGAATGATGATGAGGAACGGTTTCTACACTAACAGAGAGAACACTCTCTTACACATACAGTACAGGAGCCTCCACTTCTCCTTCTGTGGGACAGCAGCAATACTTCCTCATGCCCTGACAGTTCAACTCAGCACACACCACCCAAGCACCTACTGGATGCCCAGTCATCCAAGGTGTTAGGATCTTTCCGGGTAGCACAGATTCCCAAATCAAAGACTTCAATATCCTGTTATTTGCATGTGCAAATACACACATACACACACACACTACTGATTTGTTTTTCTATATAGGGTAAGAAGTAAGAAATTTTCCACCCCGGCTAGGAAAGGGTAAGTAGGAAAGAAGGAACATGCTGGAAGAGGCTCTCCAATAACAAATGAAAGGCAGCTGTCAAAATAGAGAATCAAATAGCACACACATAAAGTGCTTGCATAATCAGAAAATATTATCCTTTTGCTAGGGAGAAATGGGATATTTCTCGATGGTAAGCAAAATGTAACTTTTTGAAGGGTCAACACACTTGACATTTTTATGATACTTAAACAGAAAGAACTGAACAAATAATACAAGCTTTCACAGTCTTGTGTATCATTTTCAAGATGATGAAAAGTTCAGACTACGCCTGTGGAATTTAAAGAATTAAACAGAATATGCCTGTGGAGCATCACTGTAGAAATGTTATAGCCAAGATGTCTTAGCCATAGCTGTTCACACATAATATCATTGTATCAGTAAAATGATTTTATAAATACTAAATGCAGTGTTAGATTTTCTTTACCCTCCCTCCCTCCTGGCCCTCCCCATTTGTGTGTGTGTGTGTGTGTGTGTGTGTGTGTGTGTGTGTGTGTGTGTATGCATGTGTGTGTGTGTGCATGCGCGTGTGTGTGTGTATGCGTGTGTGTGTGTGTGTGTGTGTGTACAGGAGCATGTGGAAGCTGGAGATGAATGTCGAGTGTCTTCCTCAATCACACTTTCCCCATAATTTATTTTTTTGAAATATTAGTCTCCAGCTGAACCTGGGACTTGTAGATTTATCTAGGTTGGCTGACCAGTAAGCCCAGAGTTCTCCTGCCTCTGTCTCCAGCAATGGGATCTCAAGCATGGAGTGCCTCTTCCACATGGACTCTGGAAGATTGACCAGGTCTTCTTGCTTCCTCTTCACTGAGTGAGCCGTCTCCACAGCCCCTTGCCCGATTTGTTACCGTCAGCCTCTCATATCACTTTTACTAATTTCAGGTTCAACTTCTATTCTTCCAGGGCAGGTTGGACACTCAGATCAGCAGCTATATCAAAACCATTCCCTGGGGAAAGAGACATGGTTACAGCAGTTATGAGCACAAAACTGCTCTAACAGGAGTGGAGTTGGGTACCCAGCCCCACATTGGGCAGCTTAAAATCACCTATAACTCCAACTCCAGAGAGAATGGATATCTCTGACCTCTGCAGGGATCTGCACTCACACCACAGAGCCATACATATACATAATTAGAAATAAAAGAACAGTCTTTAAGAATAAAATACCTCCCTTGTTCCTATTCCCTCCTCGCCAAATTCCTCTTTGCCTCCCTACCCTGTTTCTTTGTCCTATGGTAATCAGCAGTTTGTCAGGATGTTGTCTTCCTTGGAAATGGAAGTGATAATGGACTAAGCTCCATGGGGACAGGAAGTTAGCCGACCTTATTCGTGGCAGCATACTGCCTGCCACATCGTAGATGTTCCACATGTGTTTGCTAAATAGTACGTATACTGCGCCACCCATAACTGAGACATGGTTCCCAGTGTAGCTCTCATCCGTTTGTGTTCGTTTATTCACTAAAACACCGAGTACCACACACTTGGTTGAGTATTAGGGGTACAGTGCAGGACACATGTGACTGTAACCCTCAAGTAATTTGCATTTTATGCAAAGCACATGTCACTGAAATTAACCAAAGCTTTTTCCACTTACTTTTCCCTCCTTTATCACATATTTAAACAACTAGTCCCGTTAACATTCATTGCCTCAAGAAAAGCTGCGATGTAAGAAAACAGACAAAAGTATGCTCTTTTAAAGAGTGCCGGTACCATAGTTCCGTGGGAAGCTGGAAATGATAGATCATCCCAAAGCAGATCTGAGAGCCCTGTGTGACGAAGATAGGCTTTCCTGTGTGTGGCTAGGAAGTATTTCACTTCACTAGCTGTGAGGAAAAAATAGTCGTTAGTGGGACTCGGAGAGGTACACCAGGATCTCACCCGCTAGGCAAACTTTCAACGAACAAAGACGCCCAATCGATGTCTCTTAAAGAGCAGAAGAAAACCTGCTTCTCGCTGTCCTCTTGGAAATGATAGCACGGTGTGCCTGAACCCTTGAAGATTCGGGCAATGTCGGGAAACTCCCTCCTGACTGATTTTCCATGAACCCAAAAGGTTCGCAGCAGTGGAAGACACTAGGTCTGAATAAGCTCCCTCCATTCAATTCATATGGCCTCTCAGTGAAATCTACTTTGGGCCAAATAAGCGATGGTGGTAAGGGGTGGGCTGTTAAGTAAATGGCTGATGAGGGTTCCCTCCTCCAAGTGTGATGAGTGATACAGTCAATGAAGAGTCAGAGAAACTTGGCTGCTTCTGCCTTGTCAGCAGGACGGTGCCATCATGGACTCAGCAGACATAGAATCTGAAGGCAGAGGCACACAGGTCTTGGGCTCCCCAGCCTTTAGAACGGCAAGCAGTACATTTCCATTGGTTGTAAATGACCAAAACAGCCAGAGTAAACCAAGATACTCCCACAGGATTTAGTAAACAGAGAGGAAGGAACTGAGTTTGCCAAGACCACTGTCAGTCAAGAACTTTGTTCCCAGCCGGCAGTGGTGGCACATGCCTTTAATCCCAGCACTTGGGAGGCAAAAGCAGGCAAATCTCTGTGAGTTCAAGGCCAATCTGGTCTACCAGAGATAGTTCCATGACAGACTCCAAAGCTACAGAGAAACCCTGCCTCAAAAAAAACAAACAAACAAAAGAACTTTGTTCCCTAGCCATTTCCTTCATTTACTGACATTTCCTAGGGATATAGCACAGTGTCTATCATATAGATGTTACATACAGGTCACCAGTACATGTTGAGTGCACTTTGTAGGTAAAGTGAATTATAACTAAAAAGCAAGATATATACTATTTCCAGAAAATTTCTTAAATATATTCCCTTCCAAGACTGGAAGCATTATTTGGTTGATTTCAGATCTTTCTCATGTCCGTGCCTTTCTTCTTCTGTACCATACCTGTCCACATGAACCTAGTCCTCACACCTCTGAGAATTAACTTCTAAAGCATAAATCAGATTCTCTTACCCACTCCCACTTAGTCCTCTTCATTACATCTCTAGCATCCTATTCTTCCTGAACTCTTGATTTTCTCTCCAGTCTCATTTCTCATCTACAAAACTCAAGTATCCTGCCCTATCTGGGAAGTTTTTCCTGCCTCGTTCCTTCGTCAAATTCCTTGCTATTTATTGTAACATTCCTTTATTCTTTGAAATACAAGCACACCCATATGCTTGTACAGAGCCCAGAGGAGAACATAAGGTGTCCTGCTCCATCACTTTCTGCCTTACTTCCTTGAGATGGGGCCTTCACTGAACCTGGGCCTTGCTGCCTCAGCTAGACTGACTGACTGGCAGACCAGGGGAATCTTCTCTGCACATGTAGGCACTCACACTGCCACGCCTGATTTTTCTTTCAAGAGTTCTGGAAGTATTGAACACAGATCATCACGCTGGTGCAGCAAGAACCCTTACCTACTGAGCTACCTTCCTAGCCACTAGACTCTGTCCCTCTCCCACTGGTTCTCTGAAGCTGTTGCTACAAGTCTCCTCCTCCCATGCTCAGGTTTATCACTGTGCCAATACCATTCCTTCACCGCCTTGTACAGCTAATCTTCCCACTCCAGAATGTTGGAGCAAAAACTTCCAGCCCAAGAGAAGCACCCAAGAAGCAAGCGAAGAGGCCTAAGAGAAGTGACAGTGGGTCACGGATTCAGTTTGCTCTGAGGAGCGGAGTTGCTGGGTCTTGGAAACTTGGTTCTAACCCTGCTTTGTTCATCATCTATGTGGTCATCAAAGTCCAGCTCTTCCTATGGCTGTTCCACTCAATTATTAGCAACAATGTAAGTAACTCAGTAGAACAAGATGGAAATAAAACTCAGGTATCTTGTTTATTGTCTATTATTGTTATGGGCACTTTTATTCAAAACTCTGGAGGTTAAGTAAGTCAATTTGGAGGCACTATAATTTAAAATCCTACCACTGTCCTCCAATATAGTCGGTCTCTATTTTGCTGGGTGGTGATGGTGCATGCCTTTAGTCCCAGCACTTTGGAGGTATAGGCTGAGTTCAAGGCCAGCCTAGTCTATAGAGGGAGTTCTAGGACAGCCAAGGATACACAAAGAAACCCTGTCTTGAAAAACCAACAAACAAATAAAAAAAAAAAAGTCTGTCTCACTGAATTTCCACAGTACATGTGTCTCACCTTCTACACCCTGAATCTTTACGTCAAAGTCCATATAGTGTGTGTGTGTGTGTGTGTGTGTGTGTGTGTGTGTGTGTTTTAATTTCACACTAGGTAAAATTCAATAAATATTTATAGAATAAAGTAAAAGTGATTTATAATTTCCAAAACCTCTTTGAACTGTTTCCTGTTTCTGGCAGGAAAAGACAAATAGAGTAAAAGAGAAAATGAGCTGAGAGTTTAACTAAGCATGTCTGTACTAACTAGTCCACTAATGCTGGGAACATGATGGATTTCGACGACAAGGAAGTGTGTGGCCGTAAAACTCCCAGCTTGGTTGCCGTGATGGGTTTTAAAGCACATGCTCAGACAGTATTGATGTGCCCAAGGTTTCGAAAAGTCACAGCAGAATGACTTTGGTGTGCAAGGAAAGATGATCAACCCTAAAAGCAAGAGACAAGGTTGGTGCATCTCGAGGCAAGTGCACTCAAACTTCTCTTCTTCTAAGTTAAGTAGTTATGTTCCAGACAAACTGGTTTGGCACATGGGAGCTGTGGATTGCCATAGTTACCTGAAAGTGCAGAAATCGTCCCATATATAACTAGCCCCACTGGATTTCCCGACTGTTCTACTGCACAGGGGAGAAATTCATCTTCCATCAGCATTTTTTCCCAAAGAAAAAAATACAAATTAAATGGATAATAATGTTTCGTTGGAGTATGGACAGTGCAGCCTCGGCTTTCTGTGAAACAGTAGACAAAAGGATATTTATAGTCAGATCTATTGGCTTATAGCGAGCAGCCTTGCCGTCCATCCCCAGAGAGATTCCATGCATTAAATTGAGTGTCAACTTTAGGTTTCTGTTTGATGATATGAACAATAAAAAGCTGATCCCTAATTAAATGCATGAGCTGTTTATTTAAGTGGTAAAATCATTGGATATGAGTAAAACCTGAAGGAAATAAAATGTACATACCACAAAACATATATGTTTGTGTGTGTGTGTATATATATATATATATATATATATATGCATGGATATATACTATTCTTTCTCTGTGTATATGTGTGTGTCTCTCTCATTGCATACCTTTCTTCGAGAACATTCTCCCTTTTCCAAATGCTAAGACTGCCCCAAGTTTAATTTTCATGTTAATAATAATACCTGTAGCTCACGTTTATATAGAGTTTACAAATTAAAATGTATATGCCCCGGTGGCCTGGTGAGAGAGGACCAAGATTTTATTTCATACATGAAAAACTGAAGTTCATGTAAAT